ACTTATACAAGTCTTACATCTAAACCAAAGCTGAATTCTAGGCTCATGACAGCAACTTGTATACAATTCAGTTTGCAACTAAATCATGATTCCATCACATACTAACAAGCAATCAAACACGGTATCCTGACAGCAATCCCAACAGCAATTCAAAACAGAATTTGACTCTAAACCAAACACAAGTTACAACATATGTACAACAGAAACAACAACTTCAATAAAAGCCAAATGTCAAACCTATGCACAGCCAAACCCAATCAATAACAGCACAGCAGCCCTACTGTTAAACTGCTCTAAAAAAAAGGTTAACCTACATGCCAAACAATAATTTTCTGCCACAAATACAAGTTCCAAATGCTGATAATACTGAATTCTAACAAACATCAATAATGCAATTGATACCACAGTCATCATGAAAACAAACACACTCAATGGCTCTTCTTTAGACCTAAACAAAATTCAAGCAAATAGGTAACAGCAGCAATAACATTCGTTTGGGACAAAGCCAACATGAGAAAAAACTTAATGATTCTTCTTTCAAACCAAAACAACATCTAAAACCAACAATGCAGGATGACAATTATCAATAAATGGTATCAATTTCTGGCCTCAAACAAAACATGACAAGTTGAACAGAATCAGGCCTCAAAACAACAAGACATCAAACAGCATCAGCATTAATAAATCCAAGACTCAAAGCAACAGGATATTAATAATCTCAAACAGCCAATCCCAATAGTCCTTTATAATTTCAAACCAAATGCTAACTAGAGCAACATGTGGAATTTGAAGAAAACCAAATAGATGAAACAATAAAGCAGCCCTGCTGCCAACACTCAAAAAACTTCTGCTAATCTGGCCACTAAACCAATAGCAAGACTCTGATGGTTCTGACTCGAATTATAACACAAACATCAGTTATTGTTGCAAAAAAAAAACCTCAACATACTGTTACCACAGTGTTCAACAAAACCACAACAGCCATACTTAACAAGTTCAGGTTCTTTTTTCTTTAAAACAACAAGACAATTATCATCTTCAAACCAATCAAACCAAATATTAACTCAAAATTTATACATAATCACCACAAGGTAATGAATGCGTGAGGTGATTTAAATGAACAAGTGAATGTGTGTAGAAGTACCAACAACAACAACAGCTTAAAACAGAATTCAGGATGCACCAAATTCTAACAGTGTAGCAATGTGTTTTGGTGAATAATGTGAAATGCTAACAATGTGTTTTAGTGAGAATGTGTGTGTACTGCAAGTCCAAACTAAATTGGCCAATTTCAAAAAAAACTTGTTGCAACAAGATGAAGTTCATGTCTTGAACAGCAAAAAAAACAAACAAGTAATCAGGGCAGCAGAACCTCTCAAGCAATCAATGCAGTCAAACACATCCATCAGCAGTTGAAATAACATTTCAAGACTTTAAATGGAAACAAACATGAGAAATCAACAACCACTGGTAGAAACTAAACAGTTAAGATCAAAAATGTAAAAAAAATTTCATAAACAGGTCCACAAATAGCAAAGTGTTTTGTAGCAAACGTCAAGATGTTCCAAGGCAAAAGAAAAAACAAGCCATAACTGAACACAAACATACTCAACAGAAATGGTTCGGATCCAGGCATCTACCAACAAACACACACTGATTACATAGCAGCAAATCATAAAAGCCAAAGAAAACCCACAAGTTGGTTCAAACAGAGATATGGACCAAACCTAGGAAACTTGAACCAACAGTGTCCTAATCAAACTGAGTCTTGACAAACCCAACATGGTTTAATCAAAGTCACTAACACACACACCTTAAAACTATCAGCAGGATACAAGTAACATATTTCAAGTACCTTCACTTTTTAGCATATATGAATTCTGAAAACAAACTCAGTAAAACAAAACAACTAATTATGACTGATGCGTATGATGAGAATGAGGACCAGTTTTTTCATACCTAGAAACGAGAACTGGAAGACCAAAGGACTCTGAAAAATCCCACCCTTGAGAGCAGCTCCAAAAAAAGACCTCACCTCTCTAAAATATTTTCCTTTGTGTCAAAACCGAAAAACTGGCTGCTAGGGTTTCTAGTTCCAAACCTAGACCTTATATACCCCAATTTCGAAATCCACAAATCTCCCTTGCTGAGTTTTTTCGTGTCTTGTTGTGAGACGGTAGGGGTACCCACTAGGGTTTCCAACAGGCTGTAGAGGCTGCTGGCTTTGTCCATATTAGTGAAAGGATCAGGAAAGCACAGAGCAAAGAGCTTTTGGATGTTTGGCCTTGAAATGGAAAGGCATAGTACACTTCAAACTTGGTTCACCATTTCCCTCTCTTTTGCAATTTCAAATGCATCTTGTTCAATAATCTTCCATCATTAAAACCAAAAAAAAACGCCGACTCAATCCTTGTAGAAGAATGAACAAGATTGAAACTTGTTTCACCGAAAACGGACATGTTTTGCCCACTCTCTGAATCTTCACGCACAACCATCTGCTCCTCATCTTTTCCTAGCTTTTGCTCTCCTTTTAATATGTATAAACTTCCTCTTCATAGTATTCAAAACGCGCCCCTTTGGCCAAGTGGTAAGAGTGAGACTTGGTGGAATAAGAGGTGGTGGGTTCAAACCCCACCTTGTGCACTTGTCTCATTTTATTTATTATTATTTATTTTTTTTTTTATCTTATGAAATCTAAAATATATCTTTACTCACTTTTCTTCTCTTCTTTTTCTTTGTAGAAATGCAAATGATTATGTCATGTAATATTTTTATGCCTTATGCTGATGCAGATGAAATGAAACATATGCCAGAGGGGTTGGCCAAATTTGGGGTACAACACTAGCACATATATTTTTCTCTATGAATAAGAATCAACAACATTTGCATTTCCGTCAATGTACCTCTCTTGCTTGTATTGTATGTAGTTCTAGCTTTATACACTTGGGTAGCACTAGTGAGGTTTTTTTTGGACCTTTTGTCTTTTAAGGCATAAACTATGTGTTGTGGAACCATGTTGTACTTCGTCATGTCATTCACAAATTGTCTCTCATGAATCCTCATATAGTTTATGATTGTGAAATCCACGCCTAACCATCACCTTTCAACCAATACCACTCGGCGTACATCTCAGCCTAAAAGGACATTTCACTTTCGTACTATGAATGTCCTTTGAAGATTTACTACTTTCAAATGTATTTTTCCTTTTATAATTCCTCCTCTCTCACAACCTATAATCAATTTATCTTTCTTACCTCGCTGGCCATTTGCAATATCAGAATGAACAGTCACAACTATAATATTATGTTGCTTGCTAATATTTTGTGCCCAGACTAATACTTCAGACCGAGTCTCAAATATCTGTCATTTACATCACATAAAAAATATAGTATCAATATCATATAAAGGCGAGAAAATATAAAATTTAAACTTGTTACATAGAAAACATACTTTGTATGTGGTGAAGAACTGTGTACAATCGCTACACGAATTTGTAGATGACCCTGCTAGCTCCGGACCGCACAAATAAAATATTTTTTCTAATGACTAGTCTGTTATCGAAAATTTCAAATACAAGCAAAATTTCTAATATACTAGAATTATTCAAATTTCCGAAAGTTTTTGCAACTTACCAGAAATTTTGACAATTTTCGATATTGTAACGAAATGTTAGTATAAATTACCGGAGTTTTTGACAATTTCTGGTATAGGATACCGGATTTTTTCAAATTTTCAGTAATTTGTACTAGATTTTTCTAAATTTCTAGCATATATACGTGAATTTTTAAATATGTGCAAATTGACGTACTGGAAATTTCAAATTAACTATTAAAAATGTCGATTTTAAAAGTTGAAAAATGTGATGTTTTTTGAAAGAATAGTAAAATTGATAGTTAAATATTAGCAAGGATAGTTTGAAAATATTGAAAGTTTTGGGGGTTCCCGATATAAAATGAGGGTTGGCAAATTAATTTCTCTCAACTTTCACTCATGACTCAATTCATGTTATAGTTAGAATCTCAATTACAGAATTTTCATTTCTATCAAAAATTTGTTAAATAGTTAGGAGTTGATGACGCCAAAATTTATGTAAGTATCAAACTTCCTAAAATACATTTTCCATGAAATTCTGACTCTATTAAAACTTAGCCACTTATGTTATGTGGTAGCAACTACATAATGAAATATATGTTACGACTGAAAATCTAACTCTTAAAAATTAGCTACTTATCTTCTCTGATTCTAACTCTATTTCATGTAAATATATGGTTGTTTTCAACCGCATCTTCACACTCTAATTGTTAATTGAATTATATATATATATATATATATATATATATATATATATATATATATATATATATATATATATATATATATATATATATATATATATATATATATATATATATATATATATATATATATATATAAATCAATTGATAGCAAAGTGTCATGACACCAAATTCGGCTAGTTTATTATTATTAATATAAAAATTAAGATATAATTAGGATTTCATATATATATATATATATATATATATATATATATATATATATATATATATATATATATATATATATATATATATATATATATATATATATATATATATATATATATATATATATATATATATATATATATATATATATATATATATATATATATATATATATATATAATTTAGAAAATTATATTATTAAAATTTTAATTGTTCTTTGTACCAAAAGAGTTATTAATTTCCAAAAAGAAAAGATATTCAATGAGAAACTTTGCTCGTATTGAATGAATTTTTTCTCGCACCGTTCTAGTACGCCATATCCGAACTCTGAAAGTTCATTTTCAGATCTTGATTTTCAATTAGAATCTGTGATCAAAGGTGAGCCAGCACCACACTGCAATCTAGTATTCATTTAGATCTAAACTAAATTTTCTGTGATTCATTTCATTGTTGATTTAATTTTGTGTTTTGGGTTTGGTTTGTGTGAGAGATCAGATGGAGGAACGGAGCCGTTACGTGAAGCTGACTAAAGATCAGACACCTCATGAAGATATCAATCCTGGTGAACTTAATCAGCCAATTGAGGTTCCTCAGGTTTGAATTCCAATTTTCTTTTTCATGTTTTTCATTTTTGATTTCTAGAATGTTAGGTCTTGTTTAGTGAATTACATTGGATGTATGCAACTTGAAACACAGCACAAACGCAGACATCAGACATGATACTGACGATACTGACACACGTAGATAATAATTTAAAACATATAAGTAATTGAATATAACCAGGTGTGTCAGTGTCCCTGGTGTTTTGTACACCAAATCTGCCTTCAATTTGAAGTGTCGGTGTGCGACATTGTGATAACAATGTGTAGGAGCAAGTGTATGTTTGAATTGACTTTATTGGGTAATAACACTACATTCTATGAAGCAAAGACACCTTTAGGTTTAGGCGTGTTGTGGTGACTGACACTTGTATGATACCCGTGTGACACGTGCTGAAAAAGTCATACAAGCGTCGGAGAATTCAAACAAATGTCCTAGAAAAAAAGTATTTTATCTTTGCTTGACACTTTTTGAATAGATGTCCGACACGCGTAGGACACTTGTAAGTTGTAGAACACAATTTAGACGAGTGTTAAAAAAATTGTTTTCTTCTTTGCTTCAACAAACCTTATATATCTTCTTCGACAATTCTCATACACAACTAAGAGGATTAAAGATGTATTGAAGCAATGCTATCCATGAAAGATTAAGGACATTAATTTTGATTAGAATATATTTTACTTTATGGTAATAGATTGGTAAATGAAAGTGAAATACTATCATATATGTACTAGTGTTAGTGTCAACGGCCTATATTTTTGACATTATCAATGTCTGAGTGTCTGCCGTGTCTGTGTTGGAGTCGGAGTCTGTGCTTCATAGACTAAATTTCAATGAATTCCACGTGTTACTGTTTGTTGATTTGTATGGTTTAATTTGCTGGTTTTATTGTTTGGATGTCAGTGAATGTAGCTATATTATTGTTTGTATGAAGGACTTTTCTCTATCTCTGTGTTTGTATGAAACTGGTAGATGAGAGAAAGGGAAACCCAAATCCATAATCCTTCATATAATACCAATGTCAACAGCTCTTTTTTGTTCGAGATTAAAATGATTGTGCTTTTATGACTGCGGTATAGAGAAAATTGAAAATTTTGAAAAAAATTCTGATTGTGCTCCTTTTGAGTCAGTTTTGATTTTAGTTAGTAGATGGCAAGTCGCTTAATTTCTTTAATAATCTGCAGTTGGCGGTTCCGAAGTGCATGGAATGTGGACAGGCACTACCAGAAAGCTATGCACCTCCTGCTGATGAGCCTTGGATGACTGGGATCTGTGGATGTGCTGAAGATAGAGATAGTTGTAAGTTAATGCATGACCGAACCGTCAAAATTTGCTCGAATCAGATATTATTTAATATTGAACTAGTCATTTGAACCTGTATTAGTAGTATTCGTTACTGTGAGTGTGATGACTAAGCAAGAAATCACTTGCTTTTGTTACCGTTCGGCCTTAATTGCAGGTTTGACAGGACTGTTTTGTCCTTGTGTTTTATTTGGCCGCAATGTAGAAAGCTTGTACGAAGACGCTACTTGGAATGCACCATGCATTTGTCATGCCATTTTTATTGAGGGTGGAATCGCTCTGGCAACAGCTACTGCAATCCTTAATGGTATAATTGACCCAGGGACATCATTTCTCATTGTGGAGGGTTTGTTTTTTACTTGGTGGATGTGTGGCATATACACCGGTCAGGTTCGGCAAACCTTGCAGAAGAATTATCACTTAGAGGTATGTGTTGTATTTCTTCTTCACTTGTACTAGTAAATGTTGCTTCTAATTATTGCTGATGTCAGCGTTGTCGATGGCAGAGAGCCAAACTCCCGCCATACCAGCCGCTTTGTGGCGCCGTCATAGCAGATTATGGCAGAAAAACCTGCAATATCGGCCGATCCTTGTTCTAACAATTGTCTTACTTTTTTTGATGACTTCAGAATTCTCCTGCTGATCCTTGTTGTGTCCACTGCTTCCTGCACTGGTGTGCCTTGTGTCAAGAGCACAGGGAAATGAAGGGGCGTCTCTCAGACAGTAATTCCTCAGAAACGACTCTCGTAAACGCGCCTCCCATTCAAGAAATGAAGTCTATTGGTGAAAAGGAAAGTCCTGAATCCTCATCCTCTTCCACTGCTAACAACAGTGGGCATACTAGTTTAGAACTGCAGGCTCTATAAAGTATTACTACCATTGTTAGCATCCAAAAGAGTGACATGAATTTTGAATTTTGGCTTTATAAAGAATTATTGTCATATACCTTTGGACTGAGTTCCCTGAGTTGCCTTGGACATGTAGATCGCATATATAGACATCACCTTGCTGCCTCCAAGTGTTGAATTATACAAATGTGCTATTTATAATGAAATGAGTTTTATTTATGGCACAAAACTTTTAAGTGACGAGAATGTGAATGATCACATTAACACTATAAGATCATTGATCTTTTCACTAATAACAGTTCTGGATAATACCAATGAATATGGAAGACTAAGAAAATGAACACCCACCAACATATTTTCAAAACATTTCACTAGTAAGTATTATTTAAAAAATTAAAAGTCAACAAATTATAGGTTAAAAGGATATATCATACAAATGGAACATTTATAAAATATAAGGACGCGGTTTTGTTCGGTTTGATTTTGTTTTGAAAAATGATTTTGAAACTTAATCAAATTTGAGCGGTTTTTATAAAAAAAAAACATTCAAATAAATTTAACAATATTCAATTTTTGTTGTTGTTGTTTTTAGTGTTTTTGAACATGTTTGTAGTTTTATTTTAGATATTATAAGTTTATGTTTTGTTCATGTCATTTTGATACATATTAGCAAAACCTGATCAATTTTTGGATATGAAAAAAAATATTATCAAGCTTTAAGATACGAGTGTAGAGTGTAGTGTATTTGGAATTTGAGTTTATTCATCACGTGTTATGTTAAGTGTTTTTTGCATGTGTCTTGACATATGGCATTTATCTTGCCTATACTTTGAATATATTGTGTATTGTTTAATTGTAATTCATTTGAAGATTCTGATGGCCAAAAAGAAGAGATCGAGTGCACATTGACATCTTTGATAGCTGAAGTAGAGCCTTAAAATAATGTAACAGAAAACATTGACACAAACATTGGAAATAAAGAATCTTCAGAGGATACTGAAGATGACAGTTCTGAATCTGATGCTAGTGATGTTGATGTGCCTTTGCATTGGGAGAAAACTATTACATCTGGTTTTAAGGCAAAGAAAATGTTTTGGTGGTAAATACATGATAATAGTTTTATATAGTGAAATTAACAAACTATTGATTGATGTGTTTTAACATAATTTGTTATATTTACAATATTTTCCCATACCGGTTTCTGAAATATTATTGCATAAGGGCCAAGAATCAACCCAGCTGATTGATGCAGAAAATGGAAAAATCTATGAGTGTGATGTTTACAATGCCAATAAAAACATAGATGAAAAGGACACTAGAAATGGTTGGTATGAATATGAAAAGGAGAAGAGAGGTGATTTTCTGAGATTTACAATGATTTTTTCGTTCTGAGAGGATGTAAGTAAAAAGGTTGAACCTTTGATCGAGGAAATGAGAGAAGATATCATTTGATAGGGGAAGTTATTTGTTCGGTCTGGTTGTTATGTTATAGTATTGTCAATTTAGACTTGTGTTTAAGTCAAATAATGTTTTTTGTTATGATTTACCTGTTGCACGAAGAATGTAACGTTTCTGTAAAATTGAAGGATTTCGTGTTTAACTTTGAATGATGGATGTCAAATGGGTATATATATGTTTCTCGAATTCATATTTAAATACCAGGTGAATTGTGGTATTTAAAATTTGTGATTGATTTTATATTTTTCTCTATTAAGATCGTATTAGTAATTTTGGTTGAGTGAATTACAGCGAAAAAATAATAAAAGCAAATTGTAGAAATTAAAAGGATAAGGTTAGAAAGATAGCACTAGAGATTTATACAGGCCACCGGTTCCATATCTCCTAGGCACTTTCACTTGTTGCACTCATTCTCCTCGTTGCACTTGTTCCCCTGGTTGTTGATTCACTCCAGGTGTTTAAGGAGTTGAAGTCTCAAGAAGATTCCCAGATGATTCCCTAAGAATTTCTTGCATTTCCATGAGGTCTTGTGTGTTGAAACTGAGTGTGCAACCCATGCCAGAGTAGTTTGCATGTGATGAAGGGGTCCTTGGTGTGCTCCCTGGACGATTGAAGGGGGACATTGGTGTGAAGGATTTGTTGGTGAAAGGTTGAAATGGTAGTGGTGTTTGAAAGTCATAAGGTTGTTGGGATGTTTGAGTGTGTATGCTAGGGTATGTGAAGGTGTGAAAAATACACAAGAAAGGGGGGGTTTGAATTGGGTATTTGGTTACTTAAAAACTTTTGGCATCTTCTTCTGTGTTGTTTCTAGATGTAGCAATGCGGAAGCATAAATAATAAACTTAACAAGTAAAGAACACAAGATATATCCTGGTTCACTTGAGCAACTCTCAAGCTAATCCAGTCCACCCTTCCAAGGTGATTTCGCCTTACTCACTGCAAGGACTTAATCCACTATAACCAAACAGATTACAGTTGCACAAGCTAACTGCAAGTGACTAACAACTTGACAATGACACGTTCAGGGATCCCCAAGGATATAACGTTCATTGACACCTTAATAGAATCCGATCACTAAAGATCTCCTATTAGGATTTCCACAAATGACTACTGTCACTTGTCATCTCAAGTATACTGATCTTCACAAGATCACTTGAGGAACCACTAATTCTAAAATAGAATATTTGTGTTGCCGGAGATTACATAAGTGCTTCTCAAATAAGCAGATTACTCCTAGTTAAGTTCCTAGCAAGTATTGAGCAACAGCTCCTTGCTTTCTAATATAGAAACTAATCTAATAATAAATCTCTAAGAGATTATTGAGTACAGTTTCCATATTGCTTAAAAGCTTTTCTGTAAGTGAGCACTAATGCTTCTTTTCCATTAAGCTTTTCTTTTCATTGCAGCTGTAGCAGTAGCGCAACAGCGCAAGAGCCAACCCAATGCTTCAGCTACCTTTGAATAAACAAATTATTCTGCCTTTATAGTGATTCCAAGAATGACGTTGTGAGGATAGAAAAGTCCTTTCTATTTCCAACGGTCATATTTCAACGGATAGAATAAGCACGTGTTGGATGACATCACTTTCTTGTCCTTTTCTTGCAACGGTAATATTCCATTTAACAACTTGGACAAATTTGCTTCTGGCTTGGTTCTTCTGATGATGTTACAGATGAGTAGTTCAGAAACTACTTTGGTATAGATAGCATAGTAAACATCAGATTCTGACTTCAGCACTTTGTTCATCAGAGTTGATAGCAACAGCTCATCTGATTGAACACGTCTTGTCTGGTGAAGCTTCATAATCTTTCTTCTTCAGAGTCTGGTCTTCAGAGTCTTTTGCACTTGGTCTTCAGAGCCTTCAGCCTTCAGAACTTCAAGTCATCAGAGTCTTCAGCACAAACTTCTTCAGATGATTATATCTTCAGAGTCTTGACCTTTAGAACATGTCTTCAGAGTCTTCACCTTCAGAACATGTCTTCCGAGTCTTCAGAGTCTTGACCTTCAGAACATGTCTTCAGAGTCTTCAGAGTCTTGTCCTTCAGAACATGTCTTCAGAGTCTTGACGCACTTGGTCTTCAGAGCCTTCAGCCTTCAGAACTTCAAGTCATCAGATTCTTCAGCACTTCAGTTCTTTAGAGGGCTCACTCTTCAGAGACGCTCGTTAGCTTCCAGATCAGATGCATAACTCAGATCAGAATCCACAGATGCATTGCAACTGCAATATCCAGCATCCTTGATTCTTTATTGAACATGATCAGATGCAGAAACAAACTTGCTTCTTTACTGAGCTTCATTTGCTTTTAGATCAGATGCACTTCTTCAGATCATAAACCACAGGAGCATTGCAACTGCAATATACAGCATCCTTGGTTCCTTACTGATGGTGATCAGATACATAAGCAAACTAGCTTCTCCCAAGCGCTTCACAACGTTACACATAGTAATTCCATATATTACTAGCTGCACACGTTGCTTTTGTTTGTTTGGTCTAATATATTTAATTTAATATGACCTGCACATAACAAACATTAAACCATAAAATGGTTCTTTCACAAATACTCAATTGTTATCATCAAAACATAGAGATAATCCTGTAGAGACAAATCTTGCTCTTACAATCTCCCCCTTTTTGATGATGACAAAACCATGTATTTTGATAGAACATTTTATACAGGGTAATCACCAAGCATTAACCTATTCAGAGTTCTAAGCAACTGCTCCCCCTGAATGTGTTAATCTTGAAAACTTTTTTTTATGCTTGTTCAGAGACATACTCTGATCCCAAGACTTACAAAAAAATAAATTTGATAAAACACAATCAAATAGAATAGAATAGAAGGAATACTTCCCTACAATATAATAGAGCATGAGTCTTCAGCATCTGGACTAGTTCAATCAGAACTTCCATCTTCAGATCTTTAGAACTTATCTTCTCTAAGCATTGTATCAGGGTCATATAACTTCAGAATCTTCTAAAGCATTTTCTCTTATTCTTCAGAATATTTGTTTCTTCTTCAGATGAGAAACTCCCCCTGAGTTTCAGACTGGGTGAAGATCAAATATACTGCCTTGTGAACCTTCCTGGGAGAACTCCCCCTGGCTACAATAGATCAGATATTTGGATCTTCTGAGCTTTATACAGTCTTGATTCTTGCTTTCTCAGATTTTCTTTCATCTCAGATTCTTGGTCTTATCAGAGCTCGATGCATTGATCAGATTCACTTCTTGATCTTTTGAAGCATAGTCTGATCCCAATTAGTAAGCTTTTGAATCTGATACCAATGTTGGTTCTAAGACAGATACCAATACATGATACTCATGATACTGAGTCTGAATCCAAATCTTGCTTCTATGAAGATTTCTGATTCTTTACGCTCTGATTATCATATTCACAGACAATTTACATCTTCTGAACAGTATGATTCCAGATGACTTTAACTTTCAGATCTCTGAACAGTATCGGGTCCATCTGATTCTGAATCTATGTTCATGAAGTGTATAACTTCTATTATATGAACACCAGTTCATTTGAACTCAGATTTCTTTCATTTATCCTG